CGTCGTAGTGGGTGAGGGTCTTGTGTCGTTCCCCCTCCCCAATCAGATGCACTCTGGCACCCCGAGCGGCATCTGCCAGGGCGTCCTCTTCTGCAGAGCTATTGGAGCAGCCCAGCTGTTCTTTGCATGTTGTCACCCCCCCCCGTCTCCCTATTTGTATTTATTTATTTATTTGATTTATATCCCGCCCTCCCAAAGGCTCAGGGCGGCTCACATGGGGCAAAGCCGAGGTATAAATTACAATAAAACATTCAATAGAATACAATATTTAAAACAACAGTAAAAATCATCCTGTAACACGGTGCTGAACCTATATAAATCTTCCAAGATGGGATCAGCCACCCAAATTTGGCGGCCAGCTATCTCAGTAGCGTGGTCTCCAGCTACGCTGTTCTGCCAGGCCATGCCTGCCCCCCTTTAGTGGGGCAGCCGATGACACACTACCTCGGTGGTAGGATAGTGGCGGCGGCGGCTCCTACTCGAGCGCCTGGCGGAAGAGCTCCGTCTTGCAGGCCCTGCGGAACTGCATAAGGTCCCACAGGGCCTGGATCTCCTCTGGGAGCTCGTTCCACCAGGTAGGAGCCGCCACCGAAAAAGCCCTAGTAGGGGCAAACTTAATTTCTCGGGGACCTGGAACTTCCAGGAGATGGAGGTTCCCCGATCGTAGTGCTCTTGGGGGAACATACGGGAAGAGACGGTCCTTCAGGTAAGCCAGACCCTGGCCATGTATCTGAACAGCTCAGAAAACTACGCTGTAGGACAGGGGTGTCAAACATGTGGCCCGGGGGCTGGATCACGCCCCCCCGGAGGGCTTCTATCAGGCCCACAGTGGAAGTGGCTGTCTTCTGCTTCTTCATCGAGTTCTGCTGCTGCTGCTGCATCATCGCAGGTTTGCAGTTTACAGATACATACACCTGAACAGCATACTCGAGATCGCAACAGCACGGACATTTGGATGCCGTAATCCAGAGCAAGAGGTGTCAGTTATCCGACACTGCTAACTAAACAAAATATTGCAAGGGTGCTGATGTTTTAAGCATGTTTGTATTTTAAGTATTAAAAAAACACCTTTGTGTTTGTGTCCTTTATAAAGTTTGTATCTCCGCTGCCTGGCGTTACGTTTTATGGCACACATGGCCCGGCCCAACAAAGAATCATTTATGTCAGATCTGTCCCTCATGACAAATGAGCTCGACACCCTTGCTGTAGGAAGATTGGTGCTTGCCTGGGGTTTCGTGCCTTCAAAGCTCCACTACAGGCAGGAATTCAGTCGGTGCAGCTTTCCTGGCTTAATCTCTGCCCACTGCGCCGTTGCAGCTGCAAACAGCCCTCAAGAAAACGCCGGCAGGTCCTGTATCCGTCCAAAGGATGCTTATCGCTTTCGCAAAGCGATACAGCCCTGCTTCAGGTACAGCCTGGAAGAAAGAATCGAGAGACCCAGTCCACCAGCCTCCCCCCCCCCCAACGCCCTAGCGGCCTTTGCCTCTGAGAATTGGATGGTGTTGTGACGTGGTGCTGGAAATACAGAGAATTTCGCAGATACCTGACTCGGTATGTTCTTTTCTTTCTTTTTTCCTAGGGACGCCTCAAAAATATGACCCGACTTTCAAAGGCCCCATCTATGACAGGTAAGACCAACCTGTTGGCAGAGAGTTTGAGTTCAGTGTTGCCTTGGAATGGGAGGTCTTCTCCAGTTGGAAAGGGGGGGCAAGTTCCAGGGCAGTCTGTGGCCAAGGGGGGTGGGTGGGTGGGTGGGTGGCGGCCTTCCTTTGCTGAAGACCAGTGATGTGGCCGGGGCCACATGACTCCGAGTGCCAGTCCTGTGACCAGAGAGCCAAAACAGTGCAATGAAATGAGTCTGAGCAAAGCTGCTGGGGGGAGGTTGGGATGTCCCCGGCCTGTAGCAGAGCCTCTTGTGCCAGAGGGCTTTCTGAGAAGAGAGAAGAGTTTGGATTTATACCCCGCCCTTCACTACCCAAAGGAGTCTCAGAGCGGTTTACAATCTCCTTTCCCTCCCCCTCCCCACAACAGACACCCTGTGAGGTCGGTGGGGCTGAGAGAGCTCTGAGAGAACTGCCCTTGAGAGAACAGCTCTGAGAGAACTTGTGACTGACCCAAGGTCACACCAGCAGCTGCATGTGGAGGAGGAGTGGGGAATCAAGCCCAGTCCTCCCAGATTAGAGTCCGCCCTCCTAACGACTACACCAAACTGGTTTTCTGAGGCCTCCTTGCCCTGCGATCAGAGGGATCTTTTCCTCGCTGGGTTTATTTATTAATTCAATTTATTTATTTACTTCATTTATACCCCCTGCCTTTCTCCCCAGTGGCTCACGTCATTCACCTCGCCTCCATTTTTATCCTCACAGCAACCCTCTGAGGTAGGCAAGGCCGAGAGCGCGTGACTGGCCCCAGGTCACCCAGGGAGCCTCCGTGGCAGAGTGGAGATTCGAACCTGGCTCTGCCAGATCTCGGTCTGACATTCTAGCCGCGACGCCGCACTGGCTTTGGGGTTCTTCTGCTTCTGCCTGCTTTCTTTTTCACTTCCTCTGAGCAAGCTGCCAAACAGCTGTCTACCCCTTCATATTTGTGTAAAAGATATTTCATGGTTTAGTCATAATTGGAGAGCCAGTTTGGCATCGTGGTTAGGAGGACGGACTCTGATCTGGGGGAACCGGGTTGGATTCCCCACTCCTCCACATGCAGCCGCTGGTGCGACCTTGGGTCAGTCATAAGTTTTCTCAGAGCTGTTCTCTGAAGGGCAGTCCTTGAAAGAGCTCTCTCAGCCCCACCTACCTCACAGGGTGTCTGTTGTGGGGAGGGGAAGGGAAAAGAGATTGTAAGCTGCTCTGAGACTCCTTCAGTTAGTGAAGGGAGGGGTATGAAGCCAATCTCCTCCTCTTCTTCTCTTCTTAATTTGAGGGTCTTTATACCTTCAAATAGCAAATGAAATGATCTCTGTGCCCAATCATAAATGAGCAGAACAGGACAATCCATCTAGAAAGAGAAGATTTCTGCTCGCCTGGGGAAATACTTAGGTGTGCAAGGACATACATGTCTTTGCATGTTCATAAATCAAGATCAGTTCATCTGATGGGAAGGTGCGCCTTTCTGAAGGTCGTGCCCACCTTCATTTCCCTTGCCTCCACCCCACACGGTCACCATTCCCCACCCAGCCCACCCCGTGCCACTGGACAGTTCTGGAGGACTTTTAAAAAATCAATAATTGCTATTGTGCTGTAGCATTATCATGCTTAATTACCATGATCTCTACAACAAAAACAAGAGTTGGAGACAATCGCTTTAAGCAGCAGCCTGGAATTCAGCAAAACTAGCAGATAGTGCCAATAGGGTTGTTATAATATTATAGAAGAAGAAGACGAAGAGATTGGATTTATACCCCGCCCTTCACTCGGAGTCTCGGAGTGGCTTATAAGCTCTCTTCCCCTCCCTACAACAGACTCCCTGTGAGGTAAGTGGGACTGAGAGAACTCTGACAGAAACTGCTCTTTCAAGGTCAGCTCTTGTCAGAACTATGGCTTGCCCAAGGTCATCCAGCGGGTGCATGTGGAGGAGTGGGAAATCAAACCTGGTTCTCCCAGCTTAGAGTCCGCACACTTAACCACTACACCAAACTGGCTCTCACATAGTTCCGTACTGCCCCCTTTTTTAAAAAAAACAAACAAACCCTCGAGTGGCACGATGGTGGGAAAATGGCTGCCCCTGCAGTGGAGTATCCACACCGCTCTGGGGTGGAGACTGCTGCCTGTCTGCATATGCAGGGGAGAGGGTGGGGAAATGAAGCCTCCGCCCTGTGTGGAGGTGCCCACTCTGTTCTGTGGCGCTTTGATAGTCCTGAGAAGAATGACGGACTCTCTCCCTGTAGCCATGTTAGTGTTGCGGCGACATAAAAACCACAAGCGGGATTTATTTTTATTTTTTTAAATGCAGGTCTCGTTTTCTGGCACCCTGACCACAGCTTTGCACCTGCCACCTGGCATAAAATGCAGGGCCCTTACATCAGTTCACGCTGAACAAGTGTCAACAGATCGTCTTAGGATCATAGAGTTGGAAGGGACCTCCAGGGTCATCTACTCCAACCCCCTGCACAATGCAGGACATTCACAAATACCTCCCCCCCACACACACACCCAGTGACCCCTGCTGTATGCCCAGAAGGGGGGGGCTCCAGGATCTCCGGCCAAACTGGCCTGGAGAAAAATGGCTTCCTGACCCCAGTGTGGCGATCAGCATTTCTCTGGGTGTGTAAGAAAGGGCCACGAGAACTTAGCACTGATGCAACCCTCCCTTCTCACAATCTGCCTAAGTTCACAGAATCCGCATTGCTGTCAGAGGGCCACCGAGCCTCCATTTGAGAACCCCCAAAGAAGGAGAGCCCACCACCTCCCGAGGAACCACTCTGTCGGGAAGTTCTTCCTAATGTTTCACCGAACGTTTCGTCTTGTGGCCTAGGCCATGGGGACGGGTCCTGTATTCTAATGCCTGTCGGGCACCATCCTCTGGAAGCATCTCCAGGGCAAGGCCTGTTGAAACCAAAGGGAACAAAACCCAAACATATCGGGGCTCTTCCTCTTCTTAGTGGCATTTGCCTGGGAGAGGCCTTCGGGGGATCGTGTGCTTCCTTCTTCGAAGAAAGATCTGGGGATTTTTAAAAAAAGAGCTGGGAGTGGGGTGAGAGTTGGATCGCGCAGGGGTCATTTCGTAGAAAAAGAGGTGCAGGAGCTCATTAGCATAACTCATCAGCATAACTTATTTGCATATGCCACACACCCCCTGACATCACCAAAAGTGTGTCAGAAGGCAACACCCACTGCTCAGGCTCCACTGGACTGTTTTGGATTGCTAGCTATGGTGGGGAGGGGGGACGTGCAGATCTGCCCTCGCAGAGGAGGGAGAGCTTGTACCTGAATAAAACTTGGTCTTAAAGGTGCCACTGGACTGTTTTGAACTGGGGGGCCTGGGGGAGCTCTGCAGCTTACCTGGCTGCTTCTTGCTCTGACTGAGGGCCGCTGGGAGCAGGGGGTGGGGCTTGTTGCATGTGTTCGCCCCCTGGGCTCTTTACTGCCGGAGCTCCGCTCCTGTGCGCTCCTGCAGGAAATGACCCCAGGCGTATTCTGTAGCCCTCCTAATTCAGTGTTTCTCCCTTTCCTCAGGGGCTGCACAGACATCATCTGCTGCGTCTTGCTCATGGTTGCTGTGGTGGGCTACGTGGCCGTGGGAGTGGTGGGTACGTATCCTCCTTTTTGCTTTGTTGGCGTTAGGAAAAAGCAGCTGTGGGTTCTTGAGGGCCAGGTGAAGAAATGGGAACTTGGAAAGAAAGCAAGGGCACCGCTGGTCAGAGTGGGGTGTGAGAGAGAACCAGAGACGCCCCCCGAGCATGCCCTCCTTAGTCCCTGTGAAGGAACAGACTCTCAAGACCTTCCTTCCGTCTATATTTGTTTTATAAACATGGGGTGCTTTGAAACATGCTAAGCATTGCAGTTTCAGTCCACTTCGGCGACTGTTTGCAAGTGATCTTGCCATTTCACGCAGTAAAATCCCATTGCAAAGTGCATCGAAAATGTATTATTTTGTGCAGGGGTCATGTCGTAGAAAAAGAGGTGCAGGAGCTCATTAGCATAACGTATTTGCATATGCCACACCCCCTGCCATCATCGGAAGGGTGTCAGAGGGCAACACCCACCACTCAGGCTCCACTGGACGGTTTTGGATTCCTAGCTATTGGGGGGGGGCGTCGTGGCGGATCATTCTTGCAGAAGAGGGAGAGCTTGTACCTGAATAAAACCTGGTCTTAAAGGTGCCACTGGACTGTTTTGGACCAGGGGGCTGGGGGGGGCTCTGCAACTTACCTGGCTGCTTCTTGCTCTGAATGAGGGCTGCTGGGAGCAGGGGGTGGGGCTTATTGAATGTGCCCACCCCCTGGGCTCTTTACTGCTGGAGCTCCGCTCCTGTGCGCTCCTGCAGGAAATGAACCCTGATTTTGTGTGTGTGAAAGCGCCCGTGTGTGTGTGTGTGTGTGTGTGTACACACACACACACACACATACAGTTATAAAAGTGATCACTGTATAGCCAAATGATAGTTAAAGTTGAGAAATATTCATTCTTTAGCAGCACAGGTAATCTAATATTTTAATTAAAAGCTTCAGCTTTGTCAACAGACCATGATCTGCTTACAGGACTTACTTTAACCTGCACCCCTTAGCTACTCCAAGTCTGTTGGCAGTTACTATACAGTGGGCTCCCGTAGCTTTTTTTTGGTACTGACACCATGTAATTCCGTAGTGCCCTTTATACGAAATTTTTAAGAATGCTAAGAAAATAATGTGGAAATAATCTGTATGTAGAAGCCCTTCCCTCTATATGTCCCTGGGAGGTCAGTAAAATCCCGTAGCTTTCCCAAGTCTCTGCCTGGAGATGCCATCCCTCACCCTTGCTCCTCGGGGGTATCAAAGAAACGGCCACTGCCACCAATGACTCTGAGAGTGCCTCCTGCCAGATGGGGTCATGCAAGGCTCTTTTTGCAGCAGGGACTCCTTTGCATATTAGGCGACATACCCCTAATGTAGCCAATCCTCCAAGAGCTTACAGTAGCCCCTGTAAGAAGAGCTCTGTGGAGGATTGGCTACATTAGGGGGGGTGTCACCTAATATGCAAAGGAGTTACAAAAAGAGCCCTGCTGGCTCTGGCATTTCTGTACCCGCAGGGCCAGTTAGAGGCTCTGCCTAGTTGCCATATGTCCAGCTACATTCCAGCAAGCGAGTGTATGTGGGGGGGAGGGCTCTGTCGCAACTTCACAATTTTGGGCGTTCGTGCTCCAGGGTAGAGACTTCTCTGCTGCCCCTCCTCATGACCACCCTTCAGATAGCAAGACCAAAGAGGCGTGGTGGGAGTGTCCAGAGTTCAGACTTGGAGCACTCCAAATATAAGAAAGGTGTAATGAATTGATAAAAAAGGTGGCAGAGATTCTGTAAAGGCATTCCAGGCTGAGCAAGGGAACAAAGTCAAGAAAAAAACATGCCGTCCCTTTCCCCCCAACCCTACTCTCGGTTTTTAATCCTAATGGTGTTTGTTTAGGACCGGCTAGCTTTGCTTAAAGTTCCCGCAGATTAAAGTTCATCTTTACCTTAATTCTGAAGATTGGGTCTCCTTTCCATTGTCCCTATTGTGTGGACATGATGGAGTCCCTAGATAAAACTTAGCCTCTCGTGGCTTGTGCTCTTCCAAGGGACTGGAAGAGCAAAGTGAGAGAGTTTCTTCCTTGTGTCCCAAGTTTACATAGCCTCTGTCTTTCTTTCTCTTCCCCTTGGGATGACCTTTGTGTCCCTTCCTGTCCTAAAAGAAATGCTTTTCTTTCGTCACTTTAGTCTTTCGAGGTTTATGGCCCTGGGTGTGACTTACTAGCAGGGCGTGAGGAGGTAGTGAACTATTGTCTTGCTTCAGCCAGAGTCATTAGCATGACCAGGAGCTTGAATTATCTGTGCTGGGAATTTGGCCTGCAGCTGGCTCCTGTACACGGTCAGAGCGCAGTCACAACGACTGGAAGTTCGGGGTGAATTCCTGGGCGGAGGGCATTTCTCCACACCCCTGTTTGTCTCGCTTATTGGGCCAGTGCTGGAGGAAAGACGTCTTGTGCTCAAAGTGTATTTGGATTTTATCAGAGCCGTTAACCATTTGGCAGGAGAAGTAGACTGGGTATGTGTGTGAAGGGCCAGTATTATTGGCTGGAGGCCAGTAGTGGTGGGTGCAATGAGCTGGGCAGAGCTCCCCTCCCTGGAGATTTATATTAGACTCTCTGTGTCTCTTGTGCGGAAGCACGTTTCTCTGGCTATGGAGGATCCAACTCGTCCTTTAAAAAGTACAGTGATTCCCTTAGCCCATGGGCCAAAAGCCAAAAGGTGGCAAAACGTCTTTATGTTTTTCCGGAAGGTCTATGTCTAGGTATTATGCTTTAATGCAATAACCTTTTCTCAGGGGTCATTCGGGGCTGGAGCGTGCCGGCAGCCCAGGAGCAGGCAGAAATGGCAGTGGCGGCAAGCCCCGCCCCCAGCTGCCCATCCTCACCCTCCTTCTCTGTGGAGTCGCGCTGCTGTGGTGCGATCTTTCTGTTATATTCTATGGCCCCATAGAATATCGACTCTTGGCAGGCCAGCTAGGGAAGGGGAGGGGAGGCTTTTGAAGATGCCTCCCGTCCGTTTTGCTTCCCCTTCTGACATCACTTCTGGTGATGCCAGGGGGCGTGGCATATGCTAATGAGCTGTTATGCTAATAGCCTGTTAGATATGCTAATGAGCTCCCACAGCGCTTTTTCTATGGAATGACCCCTGCCGGTTCTGATTGGTAGCGTACGCTTTTTGTGATGTCATCAGGGTAGCCAGTTTTCCCTTCCTGTTCTTGTCTGAGCTGTAACTTGTGAATGAAGCGACCAATTCCAAATTTTAAAGCACCTTTGGAAATTGTCTAATAAATAACTAATACTAACAATGCCTCTACCCATTGCCATTTTTGAGATAGATCCTCGTAGCCGGCCATGTTGGTCTGAATTAGTAGAACAAATTTAGAGCCCGGCGGCACCTTTAAACACCCACAAAGGTTTATCCAAAAGGCATGAGCTTTTGTGTGCGAGGCACGCTTTTTCATTCCATTCCATTGTATTTGACAAAGTGGGCCTCACACACGAAAGCTCATGACTTTTGGATAAACCTTTGTGGGTCTTTAAAGGTGCCGCCGGGCTCTATGTTTGTTCATTTTTTTGTGATAAGGCTCAAATCAAAGAAAAAGTCAGTTTCCCCACTTTTTATAAGGTTTGTGGCTTTAAAGCCATATACATGAAAACATTCAAAAGGTTACGCTATTTTCCATAAGGATTTTGACTGAGACTTCAAACAAGAATAATCTTCCAAACTTTGAAAGACATGAGTTAACAGTGCCCTTGGCTATGAAGTCCACTGAAAGGGATTTGCTTCTTGAATCACTCAGGCTAGGATGCATTTTGGGGCTAGCAGGAAGAAGGGACACATCCCGAAACTTGTCTGCGTTGGTCACCGTATGAAACATGTTGGACTAGACGGTCTGCTGGTCCAGCTGAAGAGGAGAGCCAGTTTGGTTGTAGCGGTTAGGAGCGCAGACTGTAATCTGGGGAAATGGTTTGAGTGCCCACTCTTCCACATGCAGCTGCTGGTGTGACCTTGGGTCAGTCACAGTCTCTTTCAGAGCTGTTCTCTCAAGGGCAGTTCTCGAGAGAGCTCTCTCAGCCCCACCTACCTCACAGGGTGTCTGCTATGAGGAGGGGAAGAGAAAGGAGATTGTAAGCCGCTCTGAGACTCCTTTGGGTAGTGAAGGTTGAGGTACAAATCCAATATCATCAGGGGTCATTCCCTGCAGGAGGACAGAGGAGCGGAGCTCCGACAGTAAAGAGCCCAGGGGGTGGGCATGTGCAACAAGCCCCACCCCCTGCTCCCAGCAGCCCTCAGTCAGAGCAAGAAGCAGCCAGGTAAGCTGCAGAGCCCCCCCAGCCCCCCGGTCCAAAACAGTCCAGTGGCACCTTTAAGGCCAAGTTTTATTCAGGTACAAGCTCTCCCTCCTCTGCGAGGACAGATCTGCCCCCCCCCCCCCCGATAGCTA